AATTATCAAAGAAAAAATAAAAATAATTTAATTTCTTTTATAAATTTCCTTATAAGTCTTAAAATATTTTATATATATTTAATATATATATATATATATATATATATATATATATATATATATATATATATATATATATAATATAAAAAAAATGTTTTGTTATTAAAATTTTTTATATAAAAATATCTTTATATTATTTAATATAAGAATAAATTAAATTTATATTATATAAGGTAAAATTTATAGAAATCATTTCAAATTCAATTTTTGAAATAAATTTTGATCAAGATAATTTATATTTATTTTCTATAAATTAAATTTATATATTATAAAATGATTTTTATATATAAAATTGAAATGATGAAATTTATGTTCATAAAAATTTTTAATTTTTTGTTTTTTTTTTTTTATATATAATATATATATATATATATATATATATATATATATATGTTTGTTTGTATGTGTTAAAATAAACTTTTTATTTCAAAAATAAAATCAATTTACAATCTAAGAAAAATAAATTTATTTTATTAGATAAATATAAATAATAAATTAAAGAATCATAATTAAATTAATTTATAAATTAAATTATTTAATAAAAAAAAAATAATAAAATTTTTTATTTGAAAATAAATAAACTTTATATAGAATTTTAAATTTTTATTGTAGAAAAATTGATTTGTTAAAAATTCAATTTTTCGTTACATTTTTTAAAAAATTCAAAAATTAATTATCCATGCTCTGAATTTGCATTTTTTTTAGTTATCAATTTTTATAACATTTATAATATAAAATATAAATATAATCTTTTCAATCAGTCAAAATTAATAAAAAAATTTCTTTTTCCTGAACAAAAGTGACAAATGCCGTAAAAATTTTTTATCATTATTTCCATATAATTTTTACAAATTTATTTATATTTATTTATAAATCAAACATCAGTTATATAATAAAATTTTTCTGGTAAAATTATTTTTAAAGAATCTTTCAATTTTGTATAAATATTTCAAACATAAATCATATTATAATTATCTTTATTGATTGAATAATAAATTAATTTTCTTTTTTTAAAAAAATTAACAAATTTAAATTTTATCTTTAAATATTTTTATTTAGTTTTATTGATAAACATTCATTAAATTTTTCATTTAATATTTATAAATAAATATGATTATTTAATATATATATACATAAAATATTTATAACTTTGATTTGAATGATTTAAAAAATATTTATAAGATATAAATTGAAAAACATTTTATTTTTAAACAATAATATTAAAAAATTTTTACGTTTTTATGAAAAAATTGGATTTATTAATTAACATATATTGGAAATATATTAAATTTTTTTCCGTTTAAATAACCCTAAAACAACATGATTTTTAATTCATTCCAATTTTAAAATTAAATTTGATTTTTATATTATAATCATTCTTCAAATTTTGAAAAAAAAATAAATTTAAGATTTAAAAAATAAAAAAAAATGTTTTTTTTTTTTTTAACTTCTATTTATAAAAATAAGATTCATGTTTTTAATATAATATATATTTTGAATATTTATATATAATTTAAATCAATTTTTTAAATTCTAATTCAAATATTTTATTTTTATTATATATATTAAATTTTTTTAAAATATTTTTATTATTTATTTATTTTCCATTAATTATAAATTATTAAATTCATAATTGAAAATCGATTGTTATAAATATAAATTCTAAATTTTTTAAATTGCTGAAAATAAGATTTATATATTTATGCAAAATTTTTCATATATATATTTTATATTTAAATTAAATTATTTGATGAAAATTAGGCTTAAATAAATAAATATATTTAATAATTATTTAATATATGATATATTTTTATATATATAAAATAATATTATATATAAAAAAATTAATAAAAAAAAAATATGTCTAAATATTTATAAATATCTATAAATATAAATAAAAATTTCTTAGCTTTTTTTTTTATCAAAAAATGTATATATATATATAAATATAAATTCATATATATATAGAATATCAAATTGAAAAAAAATTTTGATAATAACTGATTTTTTCTAAATTAAATTAATCAAATTAAAACTATCAAAGATTTGGAAAATAGATGTTACATTATTTAAAAAAATATTTAAATTTTGAAAAATGAAATCACATTTTAAAAAGCCACATCTTTCGGCCAATAAAAAAAAACAAATGAACTTTGTTTCATATTTTTGGGAAAAGAATTTAAAATATTTTTTTTTCTATTTAATTTTTAATTAATCAAATGAAAAATATAAACTGTCATAAAAATTTGAACATTTTTATAAAAAAACTAAAAATAAAATGAAATTTATTTATATATATATATAATAAATATATATTTATAAATGAATAATAATATATAATTTAAATATATATTTATATAAATATTTAATTTTTTTAAAAATACTTTATAAAAATTCTTTCGTAATTGGTTTTTTAAAATTGTTAATGTTCAAACGGTATGTTTAATTGTTTATATTTTTTGTATATAAAATTAATTTAAAAACATTATTAATATTGAACAAAATTAAAATTTGACAATTTTTTATAAAATTTTTATAATTAAATTGCCTTACATTTTAAATAATTATATATATATATATATATATAATATATATATATATATATATATATATATATAATCCAATATATATATTGTATTTATTTAATAAAAAATTTAAAAATGTTTTAGGTAACATTCAAAAATTTTACCAAAAAATTTTTTTAGTTTTTTTAAATTTTCTTTTCGAAATCTTCCTCAATTTATTTATATAAATATACTAAACAAAAAAACTAATCAACAAAATTTAAACAACCTTATAAATTCATAATTATTTATATAATTCTAAAGTAATTTATATTCGTTATATTTTAAAAAATATAATTTAATTTTTTTTCAAAACAAAATTCATTTTTTATTTAATGACAAGACGAATGTGTAATAATATATAATATAAATATATATACTATTCAATTGACCCGAATAAAAAATCAAATTAATTATATGTTATAACAAAATTAAGACAGCTAACCTTATCCTCAGAAATAACAACACACCAACTAAGTCAAAATTACAAAGAACGAACATTATCTATGAGTTCAAATGCCCCTTAAGGAACTGTGTTCCTGATCAAACCGGACTCATAAATAATTACATCGGTTACACAACCACATGCTTATCCAGACGTCTTACGTTACACCTATCTGATCACAGCTCCATTAGAACCCATTTAAACACACACACAAATTTACCAGACTCCATTAGAAACATACTAGTAGAAAACACAAATATATTAACTGCATCCACCTGCAAAAAAAAAAGACTAAAAATAATGGAAGCTTTAATAATAAAAAAGAAAAAGCCAACTCTTAACAATATTAACTACGAACAAAGCCACAATGTGCTAACCGTATTCGGAAATTAAAACATCCCTACCACACACTAAAACATACACAGAACACACACACTCAATTAAGCTGAAAAATCGAATCATCCTTGATAATGGCTAAAGGTATAGCCGAAAGCGCTCGGAAATATAAAACATTTGGACAGTTCTTACACACCCTTTGTCCAGAAAAGAAAGCTCTTGTTCAGAACACAAGAAAAAAATTAAATAAAAAGCTTAACCGTAGTACCTTGTCTGTCGTTTTTAATGAAACATTTTAAATATATATAAATTTTATGGGATGGGCAATATATACCATTTTTATATATATTTTATAATTTACATTCCATATATAATATATATATATATATATATATATAATCTTATAAAATATAATTATGAGAAATTTTAAATTCTGATTTAGAAAATTTTTAAATAGAAATGAAATGAAAAAGCAATATTAAAAAGGATTCATAAAGAATAATTAAAAGAAAAATAAATTTACGAATGAATAGATGGGGAAAATGAAATTCTAATAAGAAGATTCCAAAAATCAGAGTCCAAAGAAAAAAATTTTTATTTTTCAAAATTGATAATTTATTAATTAAAATAGGTGAAACCATATGAATAGGTATATATTTGTAGGTTGTTAAATTTATATTTTCATTGTTATATATATATATATATATATATATATATATATATATATAAATATTTTTTAAAATTTATTAACAAGTCAGTTTTAAGAAAAGATTTTTTCTGAATGAACAAACACAAGATGAATTTTTGTAAATTCCTATTATAGCAAGGACAAGAGAAATTTTTTATCATGGGCTATAGCTCTTTTTGAAAAGCAAATTACCAGACAATTGATATTGGGTCCACAGTTCAATTAGTTTTCTTTTTCATGATTTTTTTAAATGTTCATTGGCAAATGACAGGTTCAATATTTAAGATTTTTTTCAGCAACTGATTGAAATTTTCTTTCCGCTATTTAAAATATGAGACAAAATTACCTGAAATTTGTTTCTTTTCTTAAAAAATTTATATCCACGCTGAAATCAAATTTAAATTTTTTTCAAATGTTATTTTTTTTTTTAAGCATTTTTGCCAAAAAAAAAACATTGAATCACTAGCAAAGAATTATGTTTGTTTCATTATTATTGTGTTAAATTAAATAGACGATAGAATAAAAATGAAAAGGACAATTATCTTAGATCGAAGCATCTGAAGATATCAATTGACATTGCATTTTGAATTTTTTTTTTTATTTAAATAGGGAGAAATGTAAACCAAAAGGAATTTATTATTTATTTTCTTTTAAGTACTATTTGTGTTGAATTTCATTGAAGAGAAAAATAAAGAAATCGTTTCGATTTTGTCTATTCATCCTAAAATAACGTTTAAATTAATTTATAAAAGTGATTTTTCATCAGCTGTCTCTCTGTTAAAATTATTTGTAGAAAAGATGTTAAATTTAAAACGTCTATGAGAGTTTCGTGTTAAACGATTCCAAATATTTTCATATAGATGATTTTGCAATCATTCCAGGTTTGTCGAGGAATTTAGAAAGAAACATGCTATATTTTTTTATTATTCCGTTATGGGTAAATGGTTGATTGATAGATTTATGTTAATATTTCCGACAAATCAAAGAAAAAAACTTTCTGGCTTAAAATTTTCTGTTCCAGCGAATTTGAAAAATTGGAAAAATTAACAGATTTCTCAATTTGATCCGTGGAAATGAAATTTTTTACCCAAGATATAATTTTCTTTTCTTCTATTTATTTAAATTGTCGAATAAAATATTTTATTTTTCTGTCAGTTATTGCATATTTTTCAAAAATAAATCCATATCTTTCTATTTGATAAATTTTATTTTTAAATAATATCATATTATACTTTAATAAAATCATGATATAAAATGATTTTTAGTTTTTAATTGACATGACATGGTTTAATATTATTTAAAACTTTTAATATAATTCTTCATTAAAAAAAAAAAATTTTAAAACGTTTCATCTTTCATTCTGTTCGTTATTTTTTTATTTATTTATGTTTTGTGTCATTGAAGGTTTCGTTTTTTTTTTCCCAATCCAAAACTTTTAAACTTTCGGACACCTTGGTTTTTCAAATAACAATTAAATTATAAAATTTAAGATAAATAAGTCCAAAAAATTTTCTTTTAATTTATACTTTTGCATTTTTGATTTCAACGTTTTTTATTGATTTTTTTATGTCAAATTTATCAATATATATATATATTTATATATATATTTTATGAATTCACCATTTTTTTTAAATGTTGTGTGTGTGAAATATTTAGATAAAATATAAATAGATTTGCATTAGTTCCATTTCATCCTCAAACTTTCTTTAAATATTTTTTTCATTGAATGGTTTTTTGCAAAATTGTTTTTTTTAAATTTATTCCATATTTTTATTTTTTTACATGGTTATGTTTTAATTTGTAAAAAAAGGTTATTTTTAATAAACTAATTTATATTAATTCTCTGTAATTTACAATTAATATATTTTTTATAATTTTAAAAAAGGTCTATTTTTAATTTCATGATATTGTTTATTTTTAAAGATGTTATTTATATATATATATATATATATATATATATATATATATATATATATATATATATATATAATATATATATATATATATTTTATATATATATATATATATAAATTTTATATATATATATATATTTATATATATGGAAAGCATATGTTATTTTTCATGAAAAATTATTAGCATCCTATGTCAGCTCTATGAATATATATATATTTATATATAAATATATATATTTTCATATTTTTTGAGATATAAAACAATAAATTATATAAAGAGAGAAAAGTTATTTTCAGGAGAGATTTTTAAAATATATTTAAATTTTCATTTTTATTTATGGTTCAAAGAGATTGATAAACATTTTGACCAAAATTTTTTCATTTTTGCTGATTTTTGTGATCAATGTATTCAACACTTTCAAATTTTATGGAACATTTGGAATAAGAAAAAAAACTATTTAAAAAAAATTGTTGATATATAAACATAATGGTTTCTGTTTTATTTTTTTTTCAATTTTTGTTAAATGGAACTACATGAAAAAAGTTTTTCAAAAATTACAAATTTCAAATAAAATTTTTTCATTTAATATAATTTTAAAAAATTTATTTTTATAAAAATATATATATATATATATATATATATATATATATATATGGGAGGGGAAAAATGTATGACAAAGTTGGAAAAAATGAAACATTTTATCCCAATATATATATATATATATATATATATATATATATATATATATATATATATATATTTTGAATAATAAAAAAATTTAAAAATTAAAAAAAAAGACACACTGGGTTGTATATTAATATTCTTTCGTTTTTTATTATTATTTTAAAATTTAGATTCTTCGACTAGTTTCGGCCAACATGGCCATCATCAGAGAAAAAAAAATTTTGCTTGTTGGTAGAAGAACTATAGAAATGAATGTCTTGATGGAGAAAATGAACTTTTGTCTGTAGTTTTTTTTTTTTTTTCCATTTTTTTATTTTTTTAATATTAATTTTTATCAGACCTTTGTTGGTCAAACAGTCTCTTTTAAAACAAAAATTTAAGATAATAGCTGGATGGATTCATGCTGCTCTGAATTTCTAATGAAGTTTTTGATATATATGTGTCTATATATAGATGTGTGCGTGTTATTTGTTTCTTAGGGATATTTATATGTGATGTGTGTAAGTGTGTATATACTATAGGTGTGTGTCATATAAGTATGATAAATCAAAACCTCCGCAACATGTATGTTTTGTGTGGGTGAAAATGTAGGTAGGTCCTGATTTTTTTTTATATATTAATACTTTCTATATTGTTAAATTTTTCCACATTTAACCTGTTCTGGATAGTGCATTTTTTAAACGCCAAATCCACTTTATTTTCATATCCTTCTAAAATTTTTTCTAATGTTATCTGCTCTGAACTTTTCTATTCTCTCATTATAGTGAATTTGGCATGGATTTTGAAATCGTGTTTTTTTAGGCTGAAATGTTGTTCTACAGGTAATAATTTTTCATGGGGAGTCGACTTAATTCGATTATATAATTATTAATTCTATAGTGAAAGGGCCATTCAGATTTTCCTACATATTGTTTCTGGCATAGTGTGCATTCTAGGGAGGTAAATTATGTTATGAAAATCTACAGTTAGAATCGTGGTAGATTTTTTTAGATTTAGTGACTGAGCTAGTGAATGAATTCGTGTGTTTAATGTGATTTTAGCATTTTTCTTTTGTTGTTACATGGTTGGGAAAATCCTGTTGTTTTTGTTGTTAGTTTATTACGTATTACCTTATCTCCTGAAATGTGATTACTACCTATGATACTACCTATGTGTGTGTGCGTGTGTGTATGTGTGCGTGTATTCGGATGATGACTTTATTGTAACGATATGTTTCTGTGTCATAAATCGATGAACTTTTGTTCAAAAGTAAAGAAAAAGGCATTAATTTGTTTTAGTTCTTGAAAAGGTATATGTCTATATTTCTGAGATGAGGTATTATGTACACTATTTATATTATTCGGACAATTGTCCTCATCTTTGTCACAATATTTATTATAACGTTTCGGCCTTTCAGTATCTGTCTATATTTCTGAGATGAGGTATTATGTACACTATTTACATTATTCGGACTATTGTCCTCATCTTTGTCGCCATATTCATTACAACGTTTCGGCCTTTCAGTATCTGTCTATATTTCTGAGATGAGGTATTATGTACACTATTTATATTATTCGGACAATTGTCCTCATCTTTGTCGCCATATTTATTACAACGTTTCAGCCTTTCAGTATCTGTCTATATTTCTGAGATGAGGTATTATGTACACTATTTATATTATTCGGACAATTGTCCTCATCTTTGTCACCATATTTATTACAACGTTTCGGTCTTTCAGTATCTGTCTATATTTCTGAGATGAGGTATTATGTACACTATTTATATTATTCGGACAATTGTCCTCATCTTTGTCGCCATATTTATTACAACGTTTCAGCCTTTCAGTATCTGTCTATATTTCTGAGATGAGGTATTATGTACACTATTTATATTATTCGGACAATTGTCCTCATCTTTGTCGCCATATTTATTACAACGTTTCGGCCTTTCTGTATCTGTCTATATTTCTGAGATGCGGTATTATGTACACTATTTACATTATTCGGACTATTGTCCTCACCTTTGTCACCATATTTATCACAACGTTTCGGCCCTTCAGTATCTGTCTATATTTCTGAGATGAGGTATTATGTACACTATTTACATTATTCGGACTACTTTCCTAATCTTTGTCGCCATATTTATTACAACGTTTCGGCCTTTCAGTATCTGTCTATATTTCTGAGATGGCGACAAAGATGAAGACACTATTGTAAGTCCGGGGTAATATGCTGTATAATTAGTCCACCCCTAGCAGTAGTTTACGTACTTCATGCCGCTGTCGAGTATTGTATTTTGTTGATGTTATAAAGATTACCATTTCATTTCCAACCTCCGTTTTGGTCATTCCTCATTCAGTAACCTTTTCTAGGTTACAACACACATACACACACACAGATATATACATACATACATGCGTATATATATATATATATATATATATATATATATATATATATATATATACCTATGGGTTGTTCACACTTTTTCATGCATATTTTAATATCTATCAAAATACCCAGACATCAAGTTAAAAATGAAAAATAAAATCATCCTTGATAATGGCTAGAAGTATAGCTGAAAACAAAAATTTTTTTTAGACAGTTTTCCCCAATTTTTTTTTTTATTATTATAGCTTCCATTATTTTAAATCTTTTATAATGGAAGCCTTAATAATAAAAAAAGAAAAAGCCAACACTTAATAATATTAACTACGAACACGGCCACAATGTGCTGACCGTGTTCGGAAAATAAAACATTACTTTAACTTCACTACAAATACATCCAATTAAAAAACAAAAAATAAAATCATCCTTGATAATGGCTAAAAGTATAGGCGAAAGCGCTCGGAATTATAGAACGTTTGGACAGTTTCTACACACACTGTGCCCGGAAAAGAAAACAATGTTCGCACACTAGGAAAATCAAATAAAAAAATGAATCGTATTACCTTGTCTGTTGTCTTTAATGAAAGATGCATATATATATATATATATATATATATATATATATATATATATATATATATTTTAATTTTGGGTTGTTCACACTTCATTTTCTTGCCATTTTCCTCTTATGAATGTTTTAATATCTATCAAAATTCCCAGACATCCAGTTAAAAAATGAAAAATAAAATCATCCTTGATAATGGCTAAAAAGTATAGCCGAAAGCGCTGGGAATTATGGAACATGTGCCCAAAAAAGAAAACACTTGTTCAAACACAAGAAAATTTAAACAAAAAGCCTAATCGTAGTACCTTTAATGAAACATGTATAAAAGATGGATTGCTGCCTAAATACACAATACACACACACACACACACACACATATATATATATATATAATTTTTTTTCTTGGGCTATTCACGCTCCTTTTTCTTACCATTTTTCTTTCAAGCATATTTTACTATCTATCAAAATACCTATCAACTTGACATATAAACCGAAAACTTCTTTTCTCGATTCGACACCCATCGTTAAGCACTTATTAAAACTACTCGACTCACTTACCTCACCCCCAGCCAAACACAGGTGTATCACATCTATTAATTTAGCGCCGCCGTTTTAAATAACACGCCGACCTTTTATGTGGTTAACAGCCCGTGAAATATTAATTATAATTTCATCACTACCATTTTCTGATTTTCTATTTTTCTTCTTCTTTTTATTTCTAGGTGCTGACCAGCAATTTCATGGGAGAAGACAGTTTAAGTGGTGCCCACTTAGTGAGTCCAAAACCCACCCAATTTTACGCGTGAAAGGCATTTGGACTCATTTTTCTTTCGTGATTTTTTTTTTTTTTTTTAACTTCTAAGCTTGCAAGCAGTCAGCCATTCGACTACGGCGCGAACTTCGCTTGGTGATCAATCATTCTGAATTTTTTTTTTTTTTAGCTAGTGAGGATTAATTTTAACTTAAAAAAAAAAAATTCCAGCACTTTTCAAGATTAACGGGGGAAAAAAAAATATGGTGATCGTCTTCCGAATGAAAGAGTTCGAAAGTGGCTCATTTGTGATAATCTGGGATACAGAGACAGAATATAATATATTTTTCGCATCTATCTATCACAGTCTTCTTTCTCTGTCTCTCTCTCTCTCTCGCTGTCTCTCTCTGTCTCTGTTTGTCCGTTTGTGTGTCTGTTTGTTTGTCTGTCTGTCTGTCTGTCTCTGTCTCTCTCTGTCTCTGTCTCTCTCTTTTCTCTCTCTCTTTCTATTATCTATATATATATATATATATATATATATATATATATCTCAGTAAATATTTTATCTATCTATCTATTTTATTCTCTATCTATTTTTCTATCTATCTCAATCATATTTTTTTTTTACTTCTATCTTTCTATTTATATCTTTTTTTCCCTTCTCTTTCCGTCTTCTATCTATCTATCTATCTATATATTCTTATATATATCTATTCTTATCTATATATTTCTTTTTTTTTTTTTAAATTTTTATCTCATGGATTTTTCATTTTATATTCTATCTATCTTCTATCTATATCTATCTATATATCTATCTATATATATATATATATATATATATATATATATATATATATATATATTATTTTGTAAATATCTATATATATATATCATTTTTTCTATCTATCTATTATCTATCTATCTATCTATCTATCTATATATATATATATATATATATATATATATATCCATCTTCTATTTTCTTTTTCTTCTCTTTCTATCTAATTCAATATTCATGTCATTCATTTCATCTATATTCTCTATCTATCTATCTATCTATCTATCTATCTATCTATATATATATCTATATATATATATATATATATAATCTAAATTTCTATTATCTTTTGTATTTTCTCAGTCATCACATTTCTTCTATGTCATCTTTTTGGTTTTTATCTCATCTATTTTTTTTCTCTATATATTATATATATATATATATATATATATATATATATATATATTTTATTTTTTTTTTCTATCTTTAGTCAATTCTTCATTCACTGTCATTCATTTAAATCTTTATATCTTTTGTTATTTATCTATCTTGGATCTATATCTTTCCTATATATCAATAATTGTTTATATATTTATATATATCATTAATCTTTCATCTGTCTTTCTTCATCTTTCAATTTCATCATAAAATCTTATCTTATTTATCTATCTATCCATTCATCAAATTTTATTATTCTATTTATCTATCTATGTTTATAAAAGACCATTCTAATTTAATCTATCTATCTATCTATCAAATCTATCTATCTATTTGTTGAATCAAAAAATTTCTTATTTTTTGCCAAAAATAAAATTTAATTTTTTTTGTTCCTCTTGCTTGAAAGAAAAATCATTATTTTAATTCATTTTTATAACTTCAAATGGGGTTATAGTATGTATACAACGTGAAAATTTTAAATTGGCTGAAAAAACATTTATTTGCATTTCGTCTTTGATGTCTTTCTGATTCAATCAAAGTCATCATCGCAATCAAAACGACGTGTTTCTTTTTAAAAAAAAAAAATAAGATTCTCTTTCTTTTCAATATACTTGCGAGTAGTATAAATAAAAATGAAAATAAATATCCATGATTTCTTGTCGATAAAAAGAAGAGTTAGTTTCAGACAAAAAAAAAATCGTATTGCGCACGAACAAACACAATAATTTAAAGAAAGTCAGATGAATGAAGTCATATAAATATAAGGCCACTTGCCTTTTGTATTAAAAGGTGGCGGGTCAAGTGGATTGGATTTACAGGTATTTGTAAAAACAGAAATGGAACTTAAAATTATGGCGGCCCAAATCGAAATAGCGTTGGTGAAGAAATTGGAAAATGAAGAAAAAAACGATATTGGAAAATATAAGACTTGTAAATGGCTAGAGAGAGAGAGAGAAAAAAAGAGGTTTCGGTAACATTGTACTATCTCGATGTCGAGAAGGGATGATGCTTTGTCCGAGTGAAGTACTAGCGTTTGGCACTATTTACATTTGGCGGAAGGATAAATCAACGCGGAAGGGAACGAGGAGGAAAACGCGGACGATAAATGTTCGTTGGCCGTCTGCACGCCTCGAAAACGAGGCTGGATTTACGCAGAAGATATGGCTGCTTCTTGTATACAATATTGAAGAAGATGCATAATTCAAAGGTAATACCGCCAATTAGGATTTATGACGTCGATAAAATTATCATTTTTTAAATTGGGGAACAATGATGAAAAAAAAAAAAAAATTGAAGATATTAATTAAAAGAAAATTATTTCAAAAAAATGGGAAAATTAAGAAAAAATGTCGGGAGAAACAACGGACAAGAAGCAGAGCTATTAATCTTACAATTTCTGATAATGTTGCAACTCTGTTTGGATTCAGCAATCATTTCAATGGCGACCCAACACACACACACACACACACACACATACACGCACACACACATACACACACACACACACAAAATTATATATAAATATATATGCATATATATATTTAGAGATAGAAAAAGAGAGAGACGCTTGACACACATGCACATAAATTAAATAATACACATATGCATGCACGCACAAATAGGCACAAACATATGTAAACAGACACGCACACAGAGAGAAAAACACACTCGCACACAGAAACACACCCACACATAGAAAAGAAAAACGCTCAAACACACACGTAGACACACCCACCCACACACACCCACCTCCAAACGTTTTTTATTTTAACATTTTTTTATTTTTAAAAACACAAAAACATATTTTGTCTATATATACACACACACACACACACACACACACACACACACAGAAACACGCTGACATAGACACAGAAACACACAGAAACAAACACACAAACATATATATATAGTGATTTTTTTCAGTTAAACAAGGCCGAAAGTTGGGCACCAGTGAGGATCGAACTTTTTATATATTCAAATAATTATTCTATCTTAGAAAAGCTTTTTTTTAAAATTTATATATTGCCCTCATTTATATTATAAATTGTTTATTTATTTATATATCTTTTATATATATATATATATATATATATATATATATATATATATAGAGAGATAGAGAGAACATTCTTTTTTAAGATTATATCTAATTAAAAATACTCTTTGTCCATAACACGAAGTACTCATCGACAATAAACATATCAAAATTATATATGTATATATATATATTTTGATTATACGTTAATTTTATAGACGCAAATAAGTAAATGCCCTGTTTATAATAAACAGTATTAACATTTACTGGCTTGAATGTCCAAGAAATTTTAGAGAAAATATGTGTCCTCCGACAGGAATCGAACCTGTATCCTATACAGAATTGTCATATAGCCTGACGTGCTATAACATTTAGCTACAGAGGAAACAATTATGGTTATATTTATTTAAATGATTTCTTTTTAACTATAAATTTCCCAACGATTTTTACTGCTCGCTAAATATTTGGCTATTTCTATCTTAACTTAAACAAATGCCGTCATATATTATGAAGTGGACTAAATGCGAAACTTATTTTAATATATACGTTATTTTTTATAGATACAAATATTTAAGTAAATTCTGTGTCTATATTAAACAGTATTAACCAGTCCCGTCTTGAAGCAATTGGACATCTAGGCCCACTGAAGAACTGTAATACAGCAAAACAGTCTGTCTGTGGATGACTATATACAGCGTGTCCATAAAGTTCATGTTTACTTTAAAAAATTATAACTTTACTTGTATTTGCAATAGAAATAATTTGTAAAAAGGATTAGAAAGAAGTAAATCTATATTTTTTAAGGTTTTATTGAAATTTTATTTAAGTTTCCACATGTCCTCCATCATTAGCAATACAAAGGGTAATACGATTTTGCAGTTCACGGAAAACATTTGCCAACTGATTTACAGTAATGCCTGAAATCACGTTAGTTATTTTAGCTCTACTTAAAACTAGGTACATTAAACTTTATAACATTTTTTTTACAGATTATTTCTATCGCAAATACAAATAAAGTTATAAATTTTTTAAAATGCACACGAACTTTATGTGACACCCTGTATTATATATATATATATATATATATATATATATATATATATATATATTCAATTTATAATTACATGAATCATTCATACAAAAAAAAATATAGAAAAATGATTTAAATGGCGAGAATACATCTTCGCAAACAAATTTAATAAAGTACATTAACCCCGAACCTGTAGATGAATGATATGATCCCTGTTTATAAATTCCAGTTGCATAAGGTCTTTTTTTAGTTTTTTACAAGCTTTCGTCTGTTCCATATTCTAATCCGACATCTTCAGGTATGGAAATAGATTTGTTCTTTTTTTTTACCTCTCTCGGTTCTAACAGAACAACGAAAATATAAATGTAATCCTCCCTCAATGTTTTTGTTTTTAGAAATGTTTTTGTTAATTGTAATTATAAATTTATTTGGAGCTGTTTATTCAATATGATTTAAATTTTAAATTTTAAGATTGTGCGTTTTTTTAATAATATGGTAATAGGAATAATTCTATTGTACTGGTTATAATTTTTTTTAGTCAAATGTAACATGAACTATATTGTAAAAATCAATTAGTCTAAAAATATTAAAATTTTTTTCGAAAATGTTTTCTCGCCATTTAAAAAATTTTAACTTCTATATTTGTTTTTTATGAATGATTTCACATTAATAATATATATATATATATATATATATATATATAATATATATATATATATATATATATATAAATATATGGATATAGATCCGACAGTATGAAGAAAAATATAGAAAAAAAAAACAAAAATCTTAATATTTAATTATGCTTTTATTAATGTTAATATAAAGTCAACGTCGGACGTTTCGGTCTATTTAAGACCATCTTCAGGACATTTTCATTTAAACATAATTAACATTAGAACATATAAAAATTTAACACAAAAGACGATGGACATAAGAGCACAACTAATCCAAACAGATAACTGAAATTTTTTATATAAGATCAGCGTTCCGTTTAAATATGATCACGTTGTCGTCACGTGGGCGATGTTGTGAAAACGTATTCGAAGATGATTTCAAAATATTCAAATATTAAAAAAAATATAATTGAACTATTTTATATAAATCAGTTCAAGAAATCCCTTCCGTTGATATAGGAATACGCAGAGATTAATAGGTT